GCTTCCACCCTTCTCCTTGGTCACCTTTGCATGAGAAACCTCCAAGTCTTCACCTTTTCTTCTTTGTTTCACCATCTAAACACTTGGTTGAGGGTGTGTGAGCCTTGTGAAGAAAGTGTGTGTTCCTTTCTGAGTTGGAGAGGTTGTTGGAGAGGTTGTTGGTGAGGTGTTGAGGGGCTGAGTTGGTGTCCCTTTGGGTGAGAGCACTTGTTCTTGGCTTGTGAAGCTTCAAGAAGCCTTCTTTGTGAAGAAAGGACATAGCTTATGTTGCCATTTTCGTTCTTGGGTAAAGTCAGAACCTTGGGAGTGTCAAGTGAGCTCCAAGAGCCTCTTTGTTCTGAGTTTGAAGCTTGGGTATGTTGTACCAACCTTGTTCTTGAGTTTTTATGCTTAAAAGTGGAACCTTGATGCATGTAATGGATTAAAGTTGATAACTTAATGTTGGGTAATGTTAAACACACCTTAAATCGCATGTTTAAGCTTCTGTATGCTTGAAATGAACCACCTTTGTTGGATATCTTCGCGAAATGCAAAAAAAATGCATTCTGTCGCGAAATATCCGGATATGGATATCCGGATATGGATATCCGGATTTCGGGACAGCAACGAACCTGTCTTGGTAAAAATTCAATATCTTGAGTTACAGAGCTCCAAATCGAGTGCCGTTTGGACCTATGTAAAGCTAACACATAGGGATACAATCCTGTAAAATTTGGTAGCCATTGGATAAGTGGTTTGAACTCAGTGTTAGTTTAAAGTCTCGTCTTGGTTGCTGGAATTTCTGTTGGCAGCAGTCACTTTGCGAAAATCATAACCGAAGTTATACAACTCCGATTGAGACATAAGATATGTCGTTGGAAAGCTTGTGATGTCTAGTTTAACATATTAAAATCTCATAATTTTTGGGAAAGAATTACAACTTCAGTTTTAATAAAATGGAACCTTGGGAGCGATATCTCGCGAAATGCAGAAACTGCATTCTGTCGCGAAATATCCGGATATGATATCCGGATATTGATATCCGGATATGGGCTTGGAGATATCCGGATATGCCCCCGACATATATCCGGATATTCTGGGATTTTGAAGAACAGTAGCTTTGTTGTGAGGACAGTAGTCTATTGGGGGTTTGTGGACCCTAGATTGATGAGGTTGAACTTCTGTTTTAATTAAACTAAGTCAGAATCAAGTGATTAAGGGCTTATGGCTTGTTGAGAAGCCTTAAGACATAAAGCGTAATGAAAAGGCGTTGTCTTTAATTTGTATGCATGTGGTACATGTTATTGATTTATATTTGGTCCATATCAGATTGTGATCTGCTGTGATTGGACTTTGAGCTTGTGGCATTGGATAACTAGCTTAGAGGTAAGCTTTCGTGTCCTCGGTTTAGCCATGTTGTGGTTCCACCATGTCCCATGGGGATATGGTATATGCATGCTGTGTTACATGCTTTTGATGTTTTGGAAATGCTGTTGAGCTATTATATGTTAGTGCCTTGTTGATATGCATGGAGGTGTTCCACCTATACGGTAAGCCTGAGTATGTAGAACATACAAGAGGGTGAGGCTGTGGGTGAGGTGCAAGCGGTGTTCCTTGTACTACATGTAGGGAATAGACGTATTCCTACATTTCTCTGGCCAGTAGATAGTGATTACACACATGCCATAGATATCTGTTGCACTACATAGTTTTGGAACTGATAATGATATAAATGCTTTTTGAACTTATATTGCACATGTAAGTGAGCTTGGGGTGGAAGATCCTTGAGGACCCCTTGTCTTACTGAGATTTCTAGTTTAGAGATCTTACACCACGTTTGGGGAATGCTTATTTCAGGGTCAGGTAATGTTGAGACCTCAGGCGGCAGGAGACCAGGGCTGAGTTAGATTGTTGTTATATTATGCTGCCTTGATTGGATGCTGGATTTGCATTCTGCATTTGTGCTTATAGCTTTAGTTTATGTATTGGAGTTTTATGTTGAGACTTGTTGTTTACTATGTTATTTGGTGAGCATGGGGATTGTCCATGACACATAGTATTATTATGTCTTGGTTATGTCTTGAGTCTTTTGGAGTTGTAATGATGTATCAGGATATTGTCCGGATTACTTGATGTAATGCCGTGATTTAGATACACACTTTATATATATTGAGGTATTTCAGTAGATGTCTTATTGCAATTTACATACAGGCGATATTTTATGAAATTGATTAAGTAATCAAGTTGGTAATTGATAATGACGTCATAATTGAAAAGAAAAAGAATATTCCGCATTTTTTTAATTAAGCACAGCTTAATACGATGTAATGTTAATATTCCGGGTATACACGGGGTGTTACAATTTTCTTATAGATCTCTTCTACTTTTTTGTTTTATCTTCCAAACTTTGATTTTATGTATTTGATAGATATGCTCATATTGACTATAAGAATGATATTTATTCAAGACTATGGAACTAATGGGCACCAAATGAATATTAATGGAATATGTAATATTTAACTGAATGATTCTTATGTGAACTGACTACAAATGTTTGGGTTCAGACAAAAATATGGTATAAGATGCCTTACTTGACTTGAACTCCGCCAGTCATAACATTTCATATGCAGAAATAAATAAAGGTTTGGGTTTTAGTAGTTTCAGTTAAACATTACACATTCTTTTTCGTGTTTACCGTTTTTGTTATTATTTTCTTATTATAATAATATTTTGAAAAAAATGATATTTTCCATTAAAATAGCTGGACTGATTACAGTTTGAAAATTCTAATATTACTGAGATTTATCTTACGTGTGTTTATGTTTATGCTAGCCTTCCAGAAAGAAAGCATGCTTAGTGTGTGTATCATTGGAGAGAGATGGAGCATTATGATTAATGACTTTGAGGATCATACAGAGTTCAGGGTGATTTTGTAAACCCATGGAGTGATTTTCATTTTCTACTCCGATAGGATAGAAACATTTTCTTTTTACTTTAGATTATGATATAATCTAGTTTAATTTAAAAGTAATAGTGGACTTGAGTTATTGTTTAATGTATAATTAAATTTTAAGGATGTTTTGACATATGCCTTTTTTTACAACTGCTACTTTAGAATCTAATATCCCTATATTTTTTATAGTTCTTCTTATTTCATTTGAGATATGATTTAAGAAATAACATGATATTCTCTATGCTAGCTAGTTATAAATGATGTTACAATTCAATCGAATTTCAAATCTTAATTATATAATAAAAAATTGCAACGTATTTAAAGTTAATTTAAATTAAATGGAATGCACTTGCGAGGATAAGAATAGCGATTTATTATTTGTAATTTTATCATTGTTTGTTTTTTAAACTCAAATCCGTAAGTTTCTGGTCACAAGAAATAATCTCATCGTTGTTTCAAGGCTCACCATCAAAGTTAAATTAATTAAAGAGTTAAATTTTTTTACATTATAAAAAAGTAATATGTATTTACAATTATAGTTAAATAGATAATTAATAATGATGAAAGTTATACTTACGCCAACTTTTTTTATAACCTTTTATTATTATTTTTGTTATAATTAAAATCAACTCAACAATTAGAAAATAATATCATAATTTATTTGATTTTAATTTAACGATAATAAAATTGTTTTAAGTAAAAAAAGTATAAGTATAATCTTCCCTATTAATATTAGGGTTTGATTTTTTTATATTGTACGAAATAAAATTATTTCTTACATATATATAAAAGTGTATGCGACCCATGTAGTTCCATGTGAAAAGAAGAGAGAGAGAAAAAATATAAGCCCTACATATATTTATATGTGTGTAGGATATAAAATTATAAAATCATTATGATTACCATTGTAATTTTATCTCTTGTTTGGTGGGTCAATAGGATATGATTAGCTTATCCTATTCTCTCATTTTATCCTATCCAATACATGATTTCTTATCCTATGGGAGGAGCTGAGTTAAGATTCAACAGGATAGGATATTAATATTGGATACCCAATATATCCCCACGCTACCCAATATATTTATATTTATTGCATTATATTTTGTTTTTTCTTTCGCCTTTCTCCTTCTACATGATCTTATCAAATTACTAATTAGGTGCTCATCAAACACAGGACATGATATAGGCTTATCAGTCTCATATCATATCTTACCTTTATCAGCCTCATATCATATCCTATTTTATCCACCAAACGAGCCATTAGACATTAAACCCTTAGGGGGCGTTTGGTAGAGGAGAAAATTTTTTTTACCAGGGAAATACAATTACTACAAATATGGTTGGAAAGTGAGTTTGGTAGAAAAGTTAAAAAAAAAAGTTATTTGTTAGGACAAAATATTACCGGAAAAATTGGGTTAAATTTTCTGAATCTACGTTTGGTCGAAGGTAAAATATTGAAGGGAAAATGAGATAAAATCACCAAACTAACTCTTGATTAAATACAATTTTTTTGTTCTATCCAGCTTTCTTTTGACACGTTTCTTGAGAAAGAATATATATGTCCATTGCTTTTTTTTCTTACTTTTTGGTTTGATGGATAATGTCTAAGTGGTATCTTGAAATGACAAAATTTTTTAACTTTACACAAAAACTGAGATTGCTATATAAATTCAAATAATGGACACATTTTTTAAAATCTCCTATAAACAAACATGATCAACTAAAATATCCATCTCAATTTTTCCGGTAATCCTAAAAGAAACCTCCTACTATTCACCCATTAATTAAATTCAGGGAATCCTCTTTAGCTAGTTGTTATTATAATCATTCTTTCGTTAAAGGAAAAAAATAGAGTATAAATGAGTCCACCATGTATCAACGGATGAAAGAAAATGGGAGAAAAAACGGGTAAACACAGAAAAAAAGCATGAGTTTAGAGTTACAAATTACAATTATAATAGGATAGAATATCCACACGCAAGCTCATTTTTCGCCGCTAGATTCATTTAGATATTTTAATCATCTTTTTTCAGCGTAAAAGAAAAAAAAAAGTGTTTGGTAACCAAGAAAACATAAAGAGAAAATAAGGAACTCTTTTGATTCAACTTAGAAAAACGCTGAGAAAATCTTCCTTTCCTTTTGACAAAAACGAGAGAGAGCGATATCCTCGCAAAGGTGTCCGTCCTCACAAAATTCATTCATTCAGGTTCGCTCTTTTCTCTCTCAATCTGATTCGCTCATTGTTTTCAGAAGTCGCCTAACTTTTTTTTTTTTTTTTTTAACTTGATCTATTTGCTTGCGGATTGTAAATTATTTGGAAAAGTTCTTCAATTTTCGGATAATTCATTTGATAATTTGTTGTTTTGTTTTGCTGGATTTCCCGTCTTTTGCATGTTTGGATTTCGAGTTCGAAAATTGAATTTTGTTTGGTGCGATCGTGGATCGTGGTTCATTTCATTCTATGATTTGATTCTTAATTTTTGTTTTTCTTGTTTCTGTTTAGCTGATTGTGATTGTATAATAAAGCACACGCGCATAAGAGGATCGTGGATTGGTTAGCATAGTTTTGTTTTTGTTCAGCAATTGCTTGTTATCACAGCAAAGTCATAAATTTTGCAAGTATGATGACAACTTCATTGGCGAATTCTGCTGACAATTCAGCCATTGGTTCTTCCAATACCAATGGCGCCGCACGCCCTCTCCGGTCAGCATATGTTCCTCCACATCTTCGCAATCGGCCGGCGAATACCAATGCCTCGGAGCTCCCAGCGGTGGCATCATACCCTTCTTTGGCAGCTATTGATCGGGTGAATTATGGTGGTCCGGCTGCTGGTCCTCGTGGGGGTAGTTCCTCTAAGCCGGATCTCCAGCAAGGATATGGTTCTAGTGTTCAGACTAGTGGTGGATGGAATAGTAGAGGGGTAGGGAGAGACCGCGGGAGGCGTGAGGTGAACCCTTTTGAGAATGATGAGGCTGAGGATCAATCTCTTACTGATCAAGAGAACACAGGCATTAACTTTGAAGCTTATGATGATATCCCTGTGGAGACTAGTGGGGAGAATGTGCCTCCGCCTGTGAATACTTTCGCAGAGATAGATTTGGGCGATGCATTGAATCAAAATATACAGAGATGCAAGTATGTCAAACCAACCCCGGTTCAGAGGTATGCCATACCGATTTCTCTTGCTCGGCGAGATTTGATGGCTTGTGCTCAGACAGGGTCTGGAAAGACAGCTGCCTTTTGCTTTCCTATTATAAGTGGAATCATGAGGGGGCAGCATGTTCAAAGACCGCGTGTAGCACGGACTGCTTTTCCTCTGGCACTTATTCTCTCCCCTACCCGGGAGCTTTCATGTCAGGTGCGATTCTGATTTTAGCTTCCGCTTTGCACTGCCCTTGTAATGTGTATCTGACTATATGTATCTTCAAGGACTGCAATTTTTCAGTCACCCTTATGTTTTCATTGTCTTACAGATACATGATGAGGCCAAAAAGTTTTCTTATCAAACTGGTGTCAAGGTGGTAGTTGCTTATGGAGGAGCACCAATCAACCAACAGGTTATTTTTTACCCACTGGTGTTTGAGGCACTCTGATTTTTATTTTATTTTTTATTTTTTGCTTGCTTCGATATTTATCATCACCTCCTTGACATTGAAGTTTGTACCAATGCATGCAATGTTCATATGTGTGTAGAAGTGATCATTTTTTTTTTTTTTTTTTGAGTTTTAGTAAGGAACAGAAAACTTAATAAGCAAACTTCATACCATTTTCAATTTCAAGCATGGACAAGATTGTGTTGAAGTCAACTGTACAAAAATATGTTTCTGGGATTCTGAACCTGGAAATGGAGAAGAGACTGGTTATACTATCTGTGCTTTATTGTAATCATATGCTCCGGTGAAAGGTTTAACTGTTAGATGATGGTTTTGAGCTTCATTTGATTCCTGCAGATTGATAGTATTGCCATGGTGCTGTTGAGTATAAGTTTTCTCATTTTTCAATTAAACTACCTCCTATGAAGAATAAGTAATAGAGGGGGCCAAGTTAGATTTGTACTGCATATGCTCAATTTCACCCATAAGTTGAAAGCATGTGTACTTGCATCTGCTTTAGCCATGCCGTCTTCCTAATGTCCTGTGTTTTTTTGTATGTGAATACATATTATGAATTGAATTAACTTTACATACCTATGAAAAGCAGATTTTTTTTCCCAATGATAGGCCACCTGCTTATATGGGGATCAGAGTTTTGAAAATTAATGTGATAGTGGAGTCAGAGAACAGGAGTTCTTTGTGAGGCATGGTAGAATAGACAAGAATTAATCAAGTGAATACACAGTTAATTATGCTTGCCATTGTCTTTTATATCATATGTTCAGTATATAACTATGGTTTCATAATGATGGATTCTCCCATTTTTTAGTGGAGGCTCCACCCCTCTTATCAACCTGGCTTTTCAGAGTGAGTGTGATCTCTGCATCAAGTATTTGATCATTTTTATTTAAAAACTATGGCTGTTCCAAATGTTTCCAAGTTTGCTGTTACTTCTGGACGCATGTTACAATAATTTTATTTCTGAATAGTTAATGAAGATTGGAAATGTTTCGTGTATTAGCTTCTTAATGCTCTCGATTTTTGGCTTATCAGCATAATGGTTAGAATGTAATTTGTTAGCCTAGTCAGACCACGTCTCCTTTTGCTGGTGGGGTGTAAATTGTAATATGTTATATTCGTAACTATGCATTCCTTCAATATGCTTTAGGTCTTTTTGACTTTTGTATTACTGGTTCTGTACTTCTGGATACACACTTCTTTGATTAGGTAGTAATGTGGTGTTGCATTGTTCAGTTGCGGGAGCTCGAGAGAGGAGTTGATATTCTGGTGGCAACTCCAGGACGCCTGGTAGATTTGCTTGAGAGGGCTAGAGTCTCATTACAGATGATAAGCTATTTGGCTCTTGATGAGGCAGATCGGATGCTGGACATGGGTTTTGAGCCTCAAATAAGAAAGATAGTTGAGCAAATGGACATGCCTCCTCCAGGCTTGAGACAGACACTGCTGTTTAGTGCCACATTTCCCAAAGAGATACAGGTATTGTGTGACTGGTACCCAGATTCTCAAGTCGACTATGTTTTTGCTAGAGGAGCCCCGCCACCCTGGCCCGAAAAGGAAAAAAAAAAAACTCAAAATAGTCTTTTTAGAAAAAGTGAAGGTTATGTTTGGTTAAAGAAAATGTTTTCTATTTCTATTTTTTGTTTTCGCTAATAATTACAAAAATGCCACCTATGTATAAGAAATGCCGAAAACATTTTGTTGTTTTCATCATTTCTTGCACAAATTTTTGAAAACAGGAAATAAAATGAAAATAAGATGGCATTTATTGTAATTATTAGTGAAAACAGAAAATGGAAATAGAAGACATTTTCTTAAACCAAACTGGCCCTAATATTTTCAGCTTTTTCTAAAGCTGGAAACACCTTTTTCATGCTTTTTTTTAGAAGCTAGCTTATCTATTCACTGTATAAAAAGTGCTTTCTGGAATTTCTTTTTTGGAATGCTGGCTGTTTCTATAGTTTGAAATGGGTAGATGAAGTGTTTTTTACTCTAATTTTGTACTCTTGGAAATTTAGATTGCCTTAATTGAGGTGTTTGAGCAACTTCTTTAAGGCTTAATAGTTACGAAAGACTACCCGTATCATAACAAGTGTGAAAGTGGGGACCATTTGATTGAACAAGGGGAGCAAAGTTTCTTTTATTACTTTATCTCTTTTACATAATTGACATATATTGTTGACAACTTTGTGAAAGCCCTGCTTTGGCATGACAAGCATGGAACTATTGCTTTCCACTTTTTAAACCAACTCATATTGAGCTCTTTTAATTTTGGATGAAGATTCACTACCATAATTCAAAGATTGACCAGGTAAGACTTTATAAGATTTCTTTAGCTTAAGAGTCTTCGCATGAATGAGTCTTCCACCTTAAATTTCTACCTATTATAGTCCCCTAGAAGAGTCTAGGTGTGAAATAAGCAGTTCTCTATCCTTTGCAGACACTGTTTATTCTTACAACCTTTAGAACCTTGATCTGGGCATCCTTAATGTTTGCAGAAATCAATAATTTTTTTTTTGTTTTTTAATATTTGAATATTCGATTTTTGTGTTAACAATGAATCCATAGATCTGACACAATAGTTCTCGGACAAAACTCCAAATTCAAATTTTGTCTCATTGGGATGGAATGCCAATGCTATGCCAACTGTTTCTGTATGTAGACTGACATGTTTCTCTAACCAAGTTGTTTATAAATTATATCATTTAAAGTGGCACTTTTAGTTGGGAAGGTGGAATTGTTGATGTCTATAACCAAGCTGCATTTGCTTGGCAGATGCAGACAATGGCACTGCTTGCTTTGTTACTAATAGACAGAAAATATTATTTGTAGAGCTAGTATGGTGGTGATTGTGGTAAAAGTTTATTTGGGATGAAATGATAGTGATGTAGTTATGGGAAGATGCTGGGGACTTGATAGTGATGCTTTCTTATTGTTGCTAAGATACTTAAGTTTGACTGTGTTGTGAATTGAGTTATTGACATTTTATGCTGGGGATATACTCCAATAATAGAGCTTGGGTTGTTGACGACCATTTTGCAATCAGCTAGATGTCATTTTCTTTTAGCTACACGATACAGTAATTATCATTTTGACTCTTCTGATATGTGGGTTTGATATAGCACATAAACCTCTCCTTTGCAATTTTCATTTGAATGCAGAGACTTGCATCAGATTTTCTTTCACATTATGTGTTTCTGGCTGTTGGAAGGGTCGGTTCAAGTACTGATCTAATTGCTCAAAGAGTAGAATATGTACTTGAGTCAGACAAGAGAAGCCACCTCATGGACCTTCTTCATGCTCAGAGGGAAAATGGAATTGATGGCAAGGTAATCTATCACTTCTGCATACTGCTGCTCTTCAGACTTGTACATATGCATGCCATATTTTTTTATTTTGTTAGTGATTTTCTCTCCTGAGCTGTATCAGAAATTCACTAACTTATGAAAATTATGCTGCACTGGAACAACTGTTTGTTTAAAAGTAATTTTGATTTGTGGATTTATCACATTCACAATTATAAAGATTTTGGGTGGTTTTTGCAGCAAGGTCTGACATTAGTTTTTGTCGAAACAAAGAAAGGGGCTGATGCATTGGAACACTGCTTGTGTGTTAATGGGTTTCCTGCAACTAGCATTCATGGTGACAGATCACAACAAGTGAGTCTGTTTAGCTAATTGAAGTTTATATTTAAATGTAAAACATGTCAGTATTATGATTACATTAAAATCACTTTTCTTTATTTGTTTTATGTTTCTTTGTTGTTTCTAGGACTGGCCAAGGGCTTGAATTGGTTTAGTCCAAATAAATGTAGTTAATCAGAGTTTGATTTGTGTTATGGAGGTTCTACATTTCCCATGAGTCTTCAAAGGAATTATAAAATTTGAGTAGTGCAATTTTTATTTAAAAAAAAAATATAAATCTCAAGGATCAAATTTAAACACTTCCCAGCCTTGACTCCTTGTTAATTTCTACTACCATAGAAAGGGGATTGGCATCAGGTATTTAATTTTTCTCTTCCAATTAAAACTTTGTTTTTACTATAATTGAAATGAGATTTTTCAAATTAACTACTAAAGCTCATCTCTTTCACCCAATTCCAACTTTGAAGGAACTTTTTTAATTTTCTTTTTAAGATATTGCAATTTCTAATTAAATATTTTATTCCATTATTAAATTCAAAAAGTGAGAAAATTATAATGCCATCATTTAATTAAATATATTGAATTTGGCAAATCTGCTTTGCAAGTGACTCTTTCAATACTTACAATATCTTCTTTCCATTAGATTCGATAAAATCTATGCTTTGAACTTTCAAATTGCATTTTTTCTTTTCCTATTTTGTGAGAATTGAATTTGTGGATGTGTGATCATACAAAGATAAATAGGATAAGAAATGAAGATATCCGACGAAAGGTAGGTAGGAGTAGCATTGGCGGTGGAAAAGACGAGAGAATATAGATTGAGATGATTTGGGCATCTTCAAAGATCTCTAGATACTTCTGTAAGAATAAAAGTTTGTTGCCAAGAGCATGATACAAAGAGGAAAGGTCGATACATATTAGGGGAAAAATAGTAAAATAAGACTTGATGAAATGAAAAATAGATTGACGCATGGTTTATCTTTGGATAGAGTGCAGGAAAGCTATTAGAATATTGAAAGGGGGTAGACTCATTTTTCCTATGTTTCAAATGATCATTTTAGTTCTTTTCCCTATATTTATTTATTTTTGTATTTATTTACTTTTTCTCTCTTATTTATTTTTTTTCCCTCAATCTTTTCTTGCTTTATTTTGGGTTCATTGATCATCGAACTCAACTAGTTTAAGATAAAGGTGATGTTGATGTTGAATTGAATTTATCTTTTGTGGTAGCTTCTAGTTGAAATCCTTATGATTTGCCAGAAAGCCTTAGTTATTATTTTTTCCCCTTCAAAGTCTCTCCAAAGCTTCTATTACAATCAATTTACAGTTCAGGAAAAGCTTTCCCGTATATTGTATTAGAACTTCAGAACTAAAAGTTGTCCTCGTATATATTTCTCTTTTTCTGTGTACTCCTGCAAATAAATGTGTACAACTTAATGGTTCTGTATGCAGGAAAGAGAACTAGCATTGAGGTCGTTCAAGAGTGGAAACACACCAATTCTAGTGGCAACCGATGTTGCAGCACGTGGTCTTGATATTCCACGGGTAGCACATGTGGTAAATTTTGATCTTCCTAATGATATTGATGATTATGTGCACCGGATAGGAAGAACAGGGCGAGCTGGGAAAATGGGATTAGCAACAGCCTTCTTCAATGACGGTAATTTGTCCTTGGCTAAACCATTAGCTGATCTGATGCAAGAGGCAAAGCAAGAAGTACCTGCCTGGCTCACACGTTATGCACAAAGGTCTTCTTACGGTGGTGGCAACAGAAACCGGCGAGCAGGGGGAGCCAACCGTTTTGGCGGCCGCGACTTTAGGAAGGAGGGCTCATTTAATAAAGCAACAGATTACTATGGTGGAACAGGTGGATATGGTGGAGGGTATGGTCAAGGTGTGACAAGTGCCTGGGATTAGACTAGCGTCCCTTCACTATTCATTCTCATGTTCAGTGTATATAAATTTCAGATTGTAATGATGAAAAAAAGGTATCTTCTCAACCATGGTTTGTCTGAATCCATGCATTCCTTACTAGAGGAAATCTTAGGAAAGATTTACAATTGGCTTGGTTTTGCTGGTTACGCAATCAAGGTTGGGAAATGCTGCGTTTGGAAGATAAAATCTGTAAGCAACCCGAAAATTTCTGTCTAGATTACTTGTATTAGTGGAGAGGGTGTGAACAGATTCAATGGAGAACTAAGGCCAGTTATTACTCAGTTTAAATACCGAGTTGTATTCAATGTTTTGAATTTTGATAGGGTCCTTAGCTTTTGACAGTCTAAGGAGTTATCTCTAATTAGCATGCACATATTATTGATTTGATTATTCTATCAACTGATCTGCTCTGAGCTTAATTACCTAATCTTGTCCTTTACTAGAAGGATCCATAAAAAGCAATTTCCCCTCTTTTTGAGTGGTTGTAACTTTCTAGGCTATGTTAGCTGAAAATTATTACTTAAGAATTCTTCTTGGTGGCTTTGTTACCCTTCTCTTAAGTTTATCGTTAATTTGATGGTATTATCCTTCTACTTAAATGCACTGATTCTATAAATTTATTAAAATTTTATATTTTGTCTAATGTTTATCATGTTTCTTTATCCAACTTTTTGACATTGAATGAGGTTTAACACTTTAATAATAAAAAATTGGGTAAAGTCCAAATAACTCCAGTGTGTTTTTTCTATAATCACTTTCTCCCTTAATTTATTTACGGGAGAAGAATTTCTCATGCTGCTAGAGGAGTTCTTTTTCTCACAGCAAAGACAATATTTAGAAGAGAGAAAAGTGAAAGAGATGAAAGAAAAAAAATTAAGGTGGGGTTCACAAGAGAAAAGTGAAAGAGATGAAAGAAAAAAAAATTAAGGTGGGGTTCACCATTTTTTGTGTGTAAGAATTTTTGTTCTTCTTATATAAAATAAAAAGTATAAATCCCTTTATGTATTGCTTATTGTGATTTTTCCGTCGAAATTCATCTTAACATTGTTAAAAAAATTGTATTAATTGTTTATTGGGTTTGTCTTTTTTAAAGTTACTTTACAATTTTATTTAATGTTCATCAAAATGATATTATTTTGAGGTGAAAATTATGGTGTATTTGTAATTGTAATTTATTTTAGGATTATAATAGTCTTTATTTATTTATTTATTTTATTTATTTATTTATTTTTATTTTTTAACCTTAAAACGATGTTATTTCGATGAACATTAGACAAAATCATTTAAAGTAATATTAAATATTTTCCCCCCTTATTTATTTTGCCCCCGTGAAGAGTAAACAAGTATTAAATTTGCCTTTACTATTTCAATTTCATCACTTGAAAAGGATATCGATTAGACACAGAGTTAATTATGACAAAGAACTTGTGGGATTATTCGCGAACTTGTGGATTATTCGCGGGATTATTTATTGAATCTACTCGTGGCTTGACAGGAAAGTACTAGTTAGTTGTCGTCTAGGAAGCATTGACACTTCGAAAATTCTGATGTGACGTGTTTGACACTTTTCGACACTCTCTAACATCCCGACACTCCAACATGCATTATACAAATTCAAAAAAAGATTCAAAAGTTGTGTTGCGTTGAGTTTTTAATTCCAATTATTAAATTCGTTGGATTATGATTACCATTTTATTGAGTTTAATATAAATATTTGAGATATCTTATGTTTCTTTGCAAAATTGATAAATATTATAAGTTTTATTTTTTTGTTAAATTATTGAATATTAAATATAATATACACTATATAAATTAAAAATAATATTTAATATCAAAACATGTCCTACCGTGTCAAAATCTATAATTTTTTAGAATTAACGTGTCGAAATATCGTGTCACGTATCTCGTGTAAGTATCAGTGCTACACAGATTGTCGTATTTTGAAATCTGAGAGTTAAGTGTGTTAGTTGCCAAAACTGAAACCACAAAGGAAATTTGTATTTTAACACCCCAAAAAATTGTGACAATGACAAATTAGTTAAAATTTGATAAATATATGGGCATGATTGGATGACTTTTGAAAAAATATTTTTTTATGCCTTAATTTTTTTAAAAAGCTACAGTATTTTCATATTTAGACATATTATGTGAAAAATACTTGTAATTAAAAAAATTGTCTGAATGTTAAAATTATAAAATACTTTTTATGTATAGAATACCTTTTATAACATAATATTATATATATAGCTTACCAAAAAAAAAACATAATATTATATACATTTTTTTAAATTGAGTTGTACTTTTTTTTAAAACTTATTTATATATTAATTCCCATTTTAAAGGTATTAAAAATTCTATAAGCCATAATTTACTTGGAATCAGTATCTTCGTAAGAATTTGGAATTGACAAACAAACCAATTAATGATTTGTCATAACATGGATAAACCCCATCAAGAAACAAATGAGAACGAAAAGCAAATTTTACAATAGGTGAAAATTATGTAGCTAGAGAGATAAATTAAACGACAATATTCAACTCAAACCTAAAGCAAAACACATAGCTATAAAATCGTTGAAAACATCAATCCCACAAATTTGTTATAAGTGGCGACTTTCTGGCATAGAACCTTAATCACCTACGTCCTGAACTGCCAGGAACGATAGCAAAACGAAGTGGAAACCAAAACCTGCACATTGAAAAGAAGGGAATAAGATAAAATGAGTAAACCTGATAAGTTTATCTTATTCATTGGCTCACCAAACATTTGATAAGAATAGAATATGATAGTTAATCCAATTTTGTCCTCCTTATCCGGTGCATCAAACGGCCCCTTTAGTGTCCTTCTCAACTTGCACTTTTTTGTTTTCCGTTTGAACTGTAGATGCAAAATATGTTTTGATGATTATAAAGAGACAATAACACAAATTAAAGACAAAAGAAAGTGAGATTCACGCGCGCGATATTTTCTCTGTTAGGGTTTGCTTCAAGTTTGTGCTGAGATGGAATCGGAGGACGGTGACCAACAATCACCGACGGAGGATGAGAGTTCCAGGACTACGAGAGATCGTAGTGGTACTGAGGAAGTGTGACTCCCCGTGATGGGAAAAAATCCAAAGGGGCTGCGATGGAGGATGTTACCATGGACGAGAACATGCAAGAAGAAGGAGGGGAGGCTACAGACTCGTGTTCCCCTACCCCTTTGAACCTGGAGGGGAAATTGAAGGAAGCCTGTGGGGGAGCTCGTAGCAGAACGGTTTCCTACAAGGATAAGCTCTTAAAGCTGAATGGCAATGGTGGTCAATCGGACAACGAGGAAGAAGATTGGCTTTCTAAACAGAAGAGGGAGGATGAAGAAGCCGAACTGGTGGAAGGTCTGGCGCGGGGGGAAGTTGAAGACCCGCTTTTTCCGAGGTATTCCTTTCCCATAGAAGAACACAAGAGGGACTGTGAGAAATGGCGTAAAGCTCTCATAATCAAACTGCTGGGCAAACGGATCAACTTCAGGTTCCTGGTGGCCAGATTGCAGAAGATGTGGAATCTAGTAAGCTCCTTCGAGTCTATTGATCTGGATAATGGATATCTCCTAGTGAGATTCCATGATGACAAGGACTATTGTCATGTCCTTGAAGAAGGCCCCTGGATTGTCAATGACCACTATGTGGTTGTCCAGCGGTGGAGGCCTTTCTTTGACCCGTATGACGAGAGTGTGAAGAAATTGGCTGTGTGGGTTAGGATACCTGGACTACCAATTGAATTATACACAACTTGCCACCTATGGCGAATTGGAAATATCTTTGGTCGTACTTTGAAAGTAGACTGTAACTTCCTTAGGAAGAATGAGTTAGGAGATGCTGTCATCACTGAAAGGGCACGGTTTGCAAGAATTTGCGTGGAAATTGACCTAAGGAAGAGCTTCATGCCCAAATTTGTGATAGGTGAGAAGGTGTACCAGGTTGGGTATGAGGGTCTCCATCTGGTTTGCTTCAAATGCGGTGTATATGGACATAGGAGGGACCAATGTCCTGAGGATCATCCCAAATGTAACCAACAAGCCCCTGTTTTGGTGGTAGGTAGCATAGACCAGGTGAAGAGTGTGTGTGATTCTGTGGCTAAGGTTACCAATGAGGTGAAGCTGGATGAAGCTTTTGGCAGTTGGATGGTAATTCAGAGAAATCCTAGAAGTAGGAAACTCAAAGCTAAACCTGTTAGCCAGAGTAATGATGTGGTGGAGGCTCAAATGCATAAGCTTATTCAAGAGGCTCATGTTCTGAAGGAGGTGATCAGCCCTTCTGCGGTTTCAGGGGAAAAGCATAAGGTGGAGGATCAGGCTATCAACACTCAGGCTATGACTGGTTTGGGCAGCACTCAGGCTATGGAAGTAGACACTAGCCCAACTAGTTTGGGCAAGGAGTATGTGACTTCTGTTTCCAGTCCCCAAAAAAAGTTTAGGAGTCCAGAAAATGGTTCTAATAGGATCATGAGTAAACAGGGGAAAGACAAGCCCAAGACTGGTTTGAAAATTCCTGTGAAGAAAGGTGGAGCTGAGACTGTGTCCCCTAATTCTGTGCTAGAAGGTATGGGGAAAGGGATTTCCAAGACTATAGGGAAAAACCTGAATGGTCCTGAGTTGCTCTCTAGGAGTGGAAACAATTGTAACAACCTTGGAAAGAAGGATGCTCAAGAGGATCCTACCTTGAGCAAACTACTTTCTGATCACAGGGCCAGGGCTCATGAGGATGGCCCCTCCTTGTTGGGGGGAAGTTCTGTTCAACAGAAGTGACATTCCTTCAAGGGGATTCCCTTGTACAGGTTCTTTTATTCATCTTTATGTTTATTATGTCTTGGAATTGTAGAGGGGTAGGGAAGAAATGCTTCCCTTCCCTAGTTAGGGATTTAAGCTTTTGTTTTAAAGTCAGTATTTTGGCTCTTTTGGAAACCAGAGTTGGTAGTCCGAGAAGTGATGAGATCATTAAGAAGTTAGGCTTTCCCAATTTTTTTAAGCAGGATCCAGTTGGCTTTTTTGGAGGTTTGTGGTTGCTTTGGGATGGAAATAAGGTGGAATTGGAGATTCTTAAGGTTCATCATCAATTCATTCATACTAGAGTGAAGTATTTAGATGCTAAAAAGGTTGATCTGGTTACTTTTGTGTATGGTAGCCCTAGGAGACTAGAAAGGAAGTTGCTTTGGGCTGAGCTTGAGGTCATTAACAATTCTATCTTGGAACCCTGGCTGCTCTTGGGTGATTTTAACTCTATCCTGCATGCTTCTGAGAAAGTGGGAGGTAAGGAGGTGTGTTGGGACAGTATGAAGGAGATGCAGCTTTGTTTGTCTAGGTGTGACATCCATGACTTGGGTTATAAGGGGCCTGATTTTACCTGGAAACATGGGAGGCTCCATGAGAGAATGGATAGAGCTTGTACTAATGAAGACTGGAATATTGCTTGGCCTGATAAATTTACCATTCATCTTCCTTTCTTTAATTCTGACCATAGGCCTATTCTTATATGTGATGATGGTCAGTCCAGACCTGGAGATTATTCTAGGAGGTTCAAGTTCTTGGCTGCCTGGTTGACTGATCAGAGATTCTTTGATTTGGTTAAAAAGAGTTGGGGGGAATGAAGGCAATTGGTTAACAGCTAGAGATAGATTCGAAGCTAATGCAAAGGAGTGGCACCAGAATGTCTTCAAAGAGAGAATGAAACAGAAAAATAAACTGTATGCTAGACTTAATGGGCTGGACAGTTACAGGTATGGGAAGTTTGATCATAACTCAGATATTCTTCAGAAAAATCTTTGGAAGGAGCTCCAGTCAATCCTAATTCAGGAGGAATTGGTCTGGCACCAAAGGTCTCGATGCCATTGGCTAAAATATGGGGACAAGAATTCCAGATTCTTCCACTCCTCTACTGTCAACAGAAGGAGACACAATAGGATAGTTACCCTGAAGGATGACCAAGGAAATTGGATAGCTGATACTGACTCTCTTGTGAATATGGCAGTGTCCTATTATCAGGGTCTCTTCAAAGCTGTTGAGGATAGGGATGAAGAGTTCCCTGTCCAGAACTCTTTCCCTAGTTTGAATACTGTAGAGAAGAGGTTTCTGGCTCAGATTCCTAGCAAGGAGGAAATCAAAAGAACTATTTTTAGGATGGGTAAGTTAAAGGCCCCAGGTCCAGATGGCTTGAATGCCTTGTTCTTCCAAAGTCAGTGGGACACTATTGGGGATTCTGTCTACAATATTGTAATTGACATTTTTCACTACCCTGAGAAAGTGAAAGATATCAATGGTACCCTAATTTGTTTGATCCCCAAGAAAGACAGTCCTGAGAACATGAAAGATTTCAGACCTATTAGTCTTTGTAATGTTGTTTATAAAACCATTACAAAGATTATTACTGAGAGATTGAGGAATATTCTGCCTAGGATTGTCTCCCCAAACCAATGCAGCTTCATAAAAGGTAGGCAAGGGATGGATAACATTATAATTGCTCAAGAGGTAATTCATTCAATGAGAGCTAGGAAAGGAAATAAGGGCTGGATGATGATAAATGTGGATTTGGAGAAGGCCTATGATCGTCTTGAGTGGGGTTTTATCTGGGAAACTATGAAGGAGATTGGGTTTCCTGATTCCCTTATTGACTTGGTTTACAGTTGTATTTCCACTACATCTATGAGTCTTCTGTGGAATGGAGTTAAAACTAGAAGTATCTGTCCTGGGAGAGGAATTAGGCAAGGGGATCCTATTTCCCCTAACTGTTTGTGCTGTGTCTGGAAAGGTTGTCCCACCTTATCAATGTGGCAGTGGAGACAAAAGCTTGGAAGCCTATTATTCTTAGGAAGCATGGCCCCCCCATCTCCCATTTATTTTTTGCTGATGACATTATCTTGTGTGCAGAAGCTAGCTTAAACCAGGCTCATGTGATTAATCAAGTCTTGAAACTGTTTGCTGGAGCTTCGGGGTAGAAGGTTAGTAAAGACAAAACAAGGGTTTTCTTCTCTAAGAATGTCTGTCTAGAGAGAGCTAAGGAAATCAGTGAGTCCCTTAGTATAGGGATTACCCCTGACTTGGGGAAGTACCTTGGGGTCCCTCTCCACCACAAGAGGGTAACAAAAAGGACTTTTAACAATGTGTTGGAGAGAGTGCAAGGGAGGCTATCTGGTTGGAATTCAACATCCTTATCACTGGCTGGCCGTTCTACTTTGGCTAAATCAGTTTTAGAGGCATTGCCTGCTTATTCTATGCAGGCTGTTGTTCTGCCGGTTGGAGTCTGCAAGGATGTGGAGAAACTAACAAGGAATTTCATTTGGGGATCATCCCAAGCTAAGAGGAAAACCCACCTTGTGAGTTGGAAAAAAGTTTGCAAACCTAAAAGTGATGGAGGGTTGGGATTTAGAGACCAGAAGCTAGTTAATAGGGCTTTCTCTATGAAAGTGGGGTTTGGCTTGCTGGCTAATAAGGATGATCTATGGATCAGGGTTTTAAGGAATAAATATAAGGTGGAGGAGTCCTTTAATCCTGGGATCAGGAATAGTATCAATGCCTCCAATGCTTGGAAAGGGATCCAAAGGTCTTGGGGCCAGGTTCTAGAGGGTGCCAGAATAGTTGTTGGAGATGGGACCAAAACCTCATTCTGGATGGACAGATGGATTCCTACTATGGGCAGACTGATAGACTATGCTCCTACCATTATCTCTAATGAGGAGAGAAGTTGGCTAGTGTGGGAGTGTGTTAAAGAGGGAGCTTGGGACTGGGACAGACTTACTCCCCTCCTTTCCAGAGACATTCTAGATATTCTAGGGGTCCTTAATCCCCCTAATAGGTTTGGGGGTGCAGATAGAATAATCTGGACACTCTCCAGTTTGGGTTCTTTTACAATCAAATATGCATATACATATCTCTCTAGCTCCTGCATTGTGACTCACCCTAGGAATTGGGATTTTGTTTGGAAATGGGAAGGACCACAAAGGGTTAAATTCTTTCTCTGGTTATTGGCTGGGAATAAACTTCTAACTAATGCAGAGAGAAGCAGGAGGCATAAGACAACCATTACTACTTGTCATAGGTGTCATGGGGATGTGGAGGAGGATGTTCATTTATTTCAAAACTGTCCTTGGGTTCGTGAAGTGTGGAACTGCTGGATTGAGTCCAGTGAATTGAATGCCTTTCTGAATATAGATTTGGAGTCATGGCTGAACAGGAATCTAAACAGGGAGAAGAAGAATAAGAGTTAGAGGCTGACTTTTGGTGTTATCTGTTGGTTTATTTGGAAAGACAGAAACAGGCTGGTCTTTGATGGCAAGGGCTCCTCCCCCTTGGAAATTTTTGCTCATGTTTCGATATTTGCCAACAATATCAAGTTGGCTGATGAAATTCTGGTTGGTGCTGGTTTAGCAGTGGACAGATTTGAAGAGATTCTGGTTAGCTGGTCCCTTCCCCCAGCTGGTTGGGTTAAGCTGAATTTTGATGGCTCCTTCTCTGGTGATGGTCTTCAAGCTGCTTGTGGAGGGGTGTGCAGAAATAAATCAGGTAACTGGCTGATGGGTTACTCTAAAAGACTGAATCCAGAATCAGTTTTGATGGCAGAACTATGGGGTCTCTTGGTGGGTTTGGAGTGGGCTTGGGAACAGAAGTATAAGCAGGTTATCTTTGAAGGTGATTCTTTAATGGGGATCCAGTTGGCAAAGGAGGGTTGTGTTAGCTCTCACCCTTGCTTCCTAATAGTATCCAAGATCAGGGTGCTGTTGTTGAAGGATTGGGAGGTAGAGCTTGTTCATGTGTATAGAGAAGGGAACAGATTGGCACACTGGATGGCTGATAATAGAAACTTTTCTTCCTGGTCTACTTAGTGGTTTGTGAGACCTCCGATTGGATGCGAGAAGCTGTTGCTTGAGGATACAGAGGGCAACATGATGCCTAGATTCGTTAGTTTGTAGTTTGTCTTTATTTCCTTTGTATACAAAAAAAAAAGACAATAACACAAAGGGAAGAGCTTTGATGAAGCGCAAAAAACATCAACCATATATGGAGAAAAAAATACGTGATAAAGCCACAAAAAAAGAGTAATGATACAACAATGCAATGTTGAGGGACAGGAAGACTGTGAATAACTTACAAGAAAAATCTCACAACACTAGTCATGGACTCATGGTAAAAGAAGATCAAGTCCAAGTTATTACGGCATTAGTTTTTAAGACTTTGATCGGCATAATAGTGCTTTCATTCATGAGCTCAAGGTTGCAAATTGTGTATTTTTTTTATAAAAGTTTAAAGGTCTTAAAGATTGCATCTTTTACATATTGCATGTTTTCTACTGAAGTTCAAAGATTTCAAAATACATGTTTTTCATATTGCGTGGTTTTGTAACAAGAACTCTCAAAACTATTTTGAAAGGTTTTTCAATTTGATTTCATCGTGAAAAACATCTTTCAAGGAGTTTAAAACATGCTTCAAAATGTTGGTAATCAATTAGCAAGTGAAAAGTTCGAAAGGAAGTGATTGAAGTGTCTGTTAATGATCTTTGAAATGATTCCCAACTTGTGTGAATTGATTCATACATGGACAATACTCAAATAATGATCAGAAACAATTAGTTTTGCATGAAAACTCTATATATACGCTTCCAATGATTCTAAATTGTCTTAGGCACTTATTGTACATGTTCTAAGAGTGTTTTGAGCATAAAAATAGCTTTATAAATATTAATTGAGATAATATACACAAATCTATTTATCTTGAGCGCTCTTATTTAAGAAATCATCATACCATTAGTGCTTTAAGTTGTATATTCATACTTTGTGAATGTAAATTTATTTATTTATTTATTAAATACTTCTACATTGTGATTTTGTGATTGAGGGTAGTGAGGTTTCGAAGCACCTATTGAATTTGGTAGTTGAAAGTTTTCTAAACACCTATGAAGCTTAGAGGCTGCGAGGGTGCTTTAACCTTATAGGTTGTAGTTTGTAGATGTTTATCAAACACCCATGAAGCTTGACCTATAGTGGAAGAATTGTTGATACAATCTAGATGTAGATCACAAGTGATGATAACTGAATCAGAATAATTCTTGGATTGCAATCGTTTTATTCCTTAACTCCTTTATTTTAGTACTTTAATTACTTCTTTGATATTTTTTATATGCTAATATAAATTTTAACATGGACATAATTGATCGATGTAGCATGCATGGTTCTTCTTAAAAGGACATCAAAATAAAAAAAAAATTAATATCAAATTATAGTCTTACAAACTAAGATTCAATTTCTCAATTCCTTTTCTGAGAGGGAATAATATGTTTACAAGATAAAAATGTATATGTTCTGTCTTGGAGACAGAGATGTCCAGCCCAATAGGCTGGTATGTTGATCTTGGATCTAGTGCCCTCTCCAAGGTATCTGTGAAGGAGATACCCTTGAGCCAAACAGATCACTGTTCACAACGAACTAATAATGACTTTTGCAAATGGGGTGTGTGTGTGCACACAGTGACAGCATAACAGTCAGAGAGAGAGCGTAAAGTACCTTTAGGGTTTACCTCTTATTTATAGGAGTTACCTGTGGGTAATATGACGTGGACCTTTAGTACCTTTGATGAGGGCCCAGGTTTGTCTGCCATGCTG